CCCCAAAACCCCAAAACCCCAAAACCCCAAAACCCCGAAATTATAAATATTTATTGAATTATTTAAACGGTTGGTACTGCATTAATTTAATTAAAATGGCATCTAATACAGAGAACGGAAAAGAGATTAACAATGCTGAAGCTGGAAAGGAAATCGAGGAGGAAAAACAAGCTCCAATGGTAGAGGGCCAAGATAACCAGAACGGAGATGGCCAAGTTGCTGAGCATAAGAAATGGAGAGCGAAGTTGTACCAGCTCAATGCTGATGGAGGCTGGGATGACCTTGGCACAGGCCACTGACACGTCGATGTTAAACAGTAAGCATCGTGATTTAGAAGCTGGGAGTTTTGGGGAAAGGGATGTTGATGGCTTAATAGTTTTATCACAATTTTTGCTTAGTAGATTAACTTTCATTCTATCTCTCTTAATCCATATTTCCTCAAGCACATCTAAAATCTCTTATAGAGAGATAATAAAACTTACTTCAGAGAGTGACGAAACAGAATTGTTAGATTCTCGGATATGTAAGGTTCCAAATATTTACAAAATTTAGCCCTATCTACAAGTTATCACAGACAGAGAGATACTATCATTACTTGGCTGGATGATTCCACTCAGATGGACCTGGCTATCTCCTTTCAAGAAATCGACGGAGCCCAGGAAACCTGGGAAATTATCTGAAATATTCAAGGAAAAGATCCTGAAGAGGTCTCTCAAGAAGATGAGAGTGACGATGAGTTCCTTCCAGAGCCAGATTGCAGCAAACTAGGAAGTATCCACAGCATGCTCCAGATTATGGACCTCTCAAGAAAGCAGAAAGTCATAGAGGATATATTGAAGGATGACGAGGAATACATCAAGAAGCTAGAAAAAGTCTTTGTAAAGGTAAGATCCATCTTTCTGACTCTATTAGGCTGAAGAAGAGAAAAATGAAGAGTGCCTCAAGGAAGTCTTCCTTGTATTCAAGGATCTGATCAACATCTCAGATGTGAAGCTCTTAGAGACATTGGTCTCTGATAAGTACTATCTGACTCTTTTCGGAGCTCTTGAATATAATAACGAGATAAGCAATACTCACAGCGAAATGAAACATAGAGAGGTACAGTATCACTATAATTCATAGTTTCTTAAAAATAAGGTGAAATTTAAGACCTTCATTGCTATTAATGACAAAGAAGTTATCCAGAAAATCCATGAAAATTACAGAATTTCATATCTTAAAGATACTGCTCTTGCTACAGGACTTGATGAGAACAACATGCAGACGATTAACAACTTAGTGAGCTCTAATAATCAGACATTGATCCAGTCGATTCTTTTAGATCAAGAGAACATCACCCAAATCTTTGAAAGTCTCAAGAATGATAGCTTGAAGAAAAGAAGAGAAGCTATAAGTTTCATCTCAGAGCTATTTTCAATTTCAAAGAACCTGCAAATCCAAGGACGACTGAACTTACTATCTAGCTTCAGGAACATTGAGGGATACAACTTACTAATATTTGTACTGGAGTCCATCAACCTTAATGCCTCATCTAAGGAAGAAGGAAAGAATGCTGAAAAAGAGATAAAAGAAGAGATGAAATGAAATCATGAATTAGTATCTGACGCACTTGAGATCCTTATGTCATATCTCCAGTCATTCCCAGTGACACTGAATGAACTCTGTGAGAGCTATAGCCAATCAGAATCAGCGATCTCTTCAGAGAGGTTTTTGGCAATCCTTGTCGAGCATATGCTAGAAACAAAGGAGCAGGATTTGAAACTCCAGGTTCATGAATTCTTGAAATTTCTGCTCGACAGTGGAGATACTACAATAATAGGAAAGTTTTACAACATTGGGTTGAGAATAATTGCTGATTACTTTGACGAAAGGTCAGATGAGCCAGAATCAAATACCAATAACAATGTGAGTATCGCTAAATCTCTTGGGCTAGATATAATTATCAAGACGATCACTGAAGATCATTACAACTGTAAATCTAGTATCCTCTCCCTAGATTTGATAGGAAGGGTAGCAAAATTGATTGAATTCAATAACAAATTGCTCAACATCGGAGTTATAAAATTCTACAAGGCTCTTCTTGCCACTAACTTCAAACCTTATGGCAAGAAAATGATAGAAGATGATTCTCTTGACTGTGTAATCAAGATCTACTCTGAGCTGAAGAACAAGAAGAATATGATCGGATCCATTGTTCTTGACTTGTTCTCCAAGATCACTAAGTTTGACTATAATGAGCTGGCAAGCCATTTATGCAAAAAGTATGAAATTGTTAAGCCATTCTTACAAAAATGAGCTGATAAGTATGATCAAAAGGTAAAAATATTAGTTATTCAACTCATAGAACATTGATTCTATTCATGGAATCCTGACCAAACTTGACAAGAATGAAGAAGGAGATAAATGAGAGGATGACTGCTTTAAGAGGTCCCCCAAATTCGGAATTGGTATGAAAACTGAAGATTTTGGAGGTATGGATACTCTTAAAGACAAATCAGTGGAGGAAATTAAGGAAGAATTTGATCTCTCAAAACCGCCAATTAATCCAATCCCGGAAAATACTCTTGATTTCACCCCTAATTTTGATAAGGATATCAAACTGGAGACAGATGAGGTTCTTAATGAAGATATGATAGAGCCTGCTCAGGAGAGTAAATCAAGTAAGCTATTTGCTCTAATCCTCTTCTAGAAGAAACATCTGAGACAGAGACAATTGAAAATAAAAATGAGGGAAATAGTGAAAAATTCCAATTAAACATCGTAAGTACGCTATGGCTTAACCCAAATAGCAACAAGAGAATGTAGATTTTAACGAAAAAGAAGTTTCTACTAAGAAGAGAGATTTAAAAGCAGCTGAGAAACACCAGGAGGGAGTTAAAGACAAAGAGGAAAGCACATCTCCAGTTGTCCAAAATTCTACTAATCCCCCACAAGAGCCTCCTGTAGTGAAAGATTCGATCAATAAGATTGGGAAGGGTGGTAAGAGTCTTAATAGTCCTATTGACTCCTCTTTATACAAAATCCTTACTAAAATTAGTGAAAATAATGATTCTAAAATTCTCCCTCCCTTAATTCACCAATGTATAGAGCATAAGAAGCAGAAGACAGAGGAAGAGGATGCCAAACCTGAACAATTTTAGCTTAATAATAAATTTAAATTATTCTTCAACTTATTGGAAGTCTCCCGGGGTTTTGGGGTTTTGGGGTTTTGGGGTTTTGGGGTTTTGGGGTTTTGGGG